CCCCTGCAAAGATGCCCAAAGCACTCGCGCCATATACCTGCCACGGGCCCCCCAGTCCTACCAGCCACTGCCCATGAGGACCCCACGACTGGACAGTCCCAGGGCGCTGCCTCCCATCGCGGCTCTCCTGTTCTCACTTCGGTCCTGTTTTCTTCTGTCCTTCCCCTGCCCACCGTCAGTCCCGCCGGTCTCGCTGGTGCTTCCTGTGTGCGAGGTCCTGGAGACATGGGTCGACAGTCACGTTGTGTGCTCATGGGATTCCCAGTGGAGTGGTGGAGACAAAAAACAAATAACATACAGAAAAAAGACATCGTGTGTTGGAAGGTGACAGGTGGCAAGTGACAAGTGCTGTGGACAGAAGGAAACAGGACCAAAGTGAAAACGGGAAAGCTGGGGAGGCTGGCAGGGCTGCAGGGAGGGACACATGTGGGCTTCATGGGGAGGCTGGGGGTGTCTGGGGGAGGGGAGGGACAGATGGAGAGGGCACAGGTGGGCTTCACGGGGAGCGTGGGGCATGGTCCCTTAGGCTTGCACCCCCCTCCTGGGGGGAGACACCCAAGGGCTTCATCAAGCAGACAGGACGCCTGGGGGAGGGGTCCAGTGGGCAGAGTGGGGCATGCGAAGCCCTCGGGTGGGGGCGTGCCTGGTGTGGACCCAGCGGAGACTGGAGCGGCTGGAGCAGGCGAGGGAAGGAGACAGTGTCAGGAAGGGAGCAAGGAGGCAGCCCGGGCTCTGCAGGAAGACGGGCCAAGAGGACGGCTGTGTCTGTGCCTACACGTATCCACCTCCATCCGTACGTATGAGGGGGGACCAATAAAAACCCAGAATTGTCTCTTGCAGGGCGGGCCCTTGCAGTGCAAGCTTCCCACACGGGGAAGTGCTCTAGGAACCCACCAGCATCCGTGTATCCGCCAGCATTGCTGTGAGAGGCTGTCAGAAGAAACCTCCCGCGTTGTGGCAAACAGGTGATCGGTTCTTTCACCGTGACAACGCCCCTGCCCACGCCACGCTGAGAGTTCGGCAGTTCTTGGCCAAATCACTCTCCCTACTCACCCAATCTTGTCCCCAGTGACTTTTTTTGGTTTCCCTGGATGAAAAAAGTCTTCAGAGAAACATTTTGCCAATGTGAAATAAAAAATGGCAGAAACACTAGAAGGCATAAAAATTGACAAGTTCAAAAACTGTTTTGAGCAGTGGAAAAACATCTTGATAAGTGTGTCGCATCAAACAGAGAGTACTTTAAAGGCGACCTGCTGGGCTCCGGCGATCCTTCCGCCTCAGCCTCCCAAATAGCTGGAACTACAGGCACGCACTACCACGCCCAGCTAGTTTTTGATTTATTGTGGAGATGAGGTCTTGTCAAGTTGCCCAGGCGGGTCTCGAACCCGCGGGCTCAAGCAATCCACTCACCTCGGCCTCCCAAGGTGCTGGGATTACAGGCTGAGCCACCGAGCCCGGCCCCCACTTCTGTTTTATTAATTGGCAAAGACAGACGCATGCCTCTTCAGTAGACTAACCGAACAAATGATGAGCTCGGTCCCAGGTCCTGTCAGCCATCGATCTTTGACCCTAAGAGGTAATTTTTTTCCTTCCAATTTTGAGAGAACAGAAATCATTTCTGTGAGCCCCTAGAGTACTGGGTGCCCTAGGCAGGGTGCTTATTGCACCTAGTGGGTAAGTCAGTGCTGCTTGGGGGTGGTGTGGTCAGGGTGGGGTCACACGCTCACCTTGACCTCAGAAGGCGGAGTTCACCCACACCATGAGGGCCACGTGTTCACCTCAAACCTGAGGAGGCGGGGTTCCCCCACGCCATGGGGGCTCGAGTGGGGGTGAGGTGCCCACAAGGAAAAACCGGGGGTGTCTCACCAGAGAAGGTCGCATGGGAAAGGCCCCCTGCAGGCCACCAGAGGTGACCCCAGGCTGAGAAGGCAGCCCTCTGGCCTGTGCTCCCTCTAATATATGCAAGGTGCTCACAGCAGAATCTGGTCCAAAGGATGCCTTCCAACGTGAACTGTTACCTCAGTGGTGGGAAATGCAGCTGTTCGTACTCCACGGCCTCAACACCGTGGCGTCTGGGGCTAGGTAGTGTGTGGAAGGTCATGGGGGAGTTGGGACCAGACTGGATATACAGAGAAATACTTGAAGGGGGGCCTCCACCATGTCTTGGTGACCTCTGACTGCACGAGGCAACAAAATGCAGCTTGTGCATCTGAGAACACTTTTCTCACTTTATTTCAGAAAGCTGCGCTGATGAATCATTCTGATGTCTGCAACTTTAAGGATAGCGCTGAGTAGCGTATGGGTTACACGAAGACTGTTGGAACCACCAAGTCCTAGCACTTGTAGGGCACCATCATTAGCACAACTGAGGAGTCCTTGAGTGATATGAGACAGCCAAGCCTTGCAGTTTTTTCCCTTCACTAACTGGCATAAAAATACTAAAGTTATTACCAAAAATAGATTTAGCAGGAGTTGAGGCGGGTGGAGAAGGGGGAGCCCCCGGACTGCAAGACAGAGAAGGGTGGGAGAGTCATGTCTCCATGCTAACAGACCCAGCAGAACACAGAAAGGCAGACAGAGGGAACAAGGAAGGAGGTGCCGACAGTCAGAGGCAGAGGCCGAGGCATTTTCGGGCATCCTGGGGTGCGCGATGGAGTCTGTTTTCTCCATCAGAAACATTCCGTCTCAAGCCATCTGCTCCTGGGCCCTGAGGCGCAGAGGTGCCGCCTGGAGCCCAAGCCTGTGGGCAGGGTCAAGGTGCCGCTTTAAAAGCAGCCACTGAGCAGGGAGGGGGGCCACATCTGGGAGAGAAGCGTCAGAGCTGCCGGGGCACGGGTGGACGGGGAGAAAAGGACCCGCACAAGGCCAGTCAGCAGGGACGGCCAGAGGGACCTGGAAGCAGAAATGCGAAGAAGCGTCTTTCCTCTCGGGAGGAGCAATCCCAGGGGCTTTCACAGCTCATGGAAATACAGATCAGGGTCCAGATACGAATCCCCCTTCCAGCCCCTCCCTGGGCAGAATGGAACCTGCACCTCGGTGAACTGGGCAGCTCTGAGCTTGGGAGAAGCTCGCTATGGGAGCAGTCCAGCCTCTGCTCTCCCCTCTCCCCACAGGGACACTGGTGTCACATGCGACTTCAGCAGGACGTTCCCATGCAGGACAGTCCACTAGCAGAGCAGGGGGAGGCTGGGCCTGCAGAGGGGGCGGTTGAAGATGGCACGTGGCCAGCTGGCCAAGGGTCATCTGAAGGGCCCAAGTGGCCCTTCAGCTTCTGTCACGTGAGAGCATTCACATGGCTGAGTGGAGAGCCTGGAACAGCAAGGTATAGTGAGCGCACCTCCTGGGAAGACAGGACGTTCTGAATGAACTACACTGAGGGCAGGGGGACGAAGCCCTCCCAGTCACTGCGGAAGGGGCTGACCCCACCCAGGGACCGAGCACTGGGGGGGGCAGGAGTGCAGCTAGGGGCTGAGCCCAAGGGAGTGCCCGCGAGTGAGGACTCTGGGTGGAGCCAAGCCCTGCCTCTGAGGAACGCAGAGCACTAGCAGCGTGGACGCCTGTCGAGAGGGCCGTAGAAAGCCGAGGTGACATCACAGACACGGCCCACCTGGCCCAGAAGGACACGGACGTGGGAGTCAGCCTGGGGGCCTCCAACAGGCCTGCAGTAGCTCCGCCTTCCAGTGCGTGCGAGTGAATCGCACTCACAGGACTACGCATGGGACCAGGTCTGACAGGTGGGGACTCGGGAGGCGGGGCAGTCACCGAGGCGGAGGCTCCCAGTGGCTGTTGCTCTGCTGGGGACAGCTCAGAGCAGCCCCAAGACGGGTGAGGCGGCCACCAGGACGCAGCCTCGGTTCTGGTGCAGCTGGAAGCACACCCAGCAGCCCACCGTGCACTCACTGAAAGAAGCCCACCTCCCAGCTCTGCTAGAAACGTGTCTCAGGGTTCAAGGCGAAGGGGGCTGGAGGCAGGAGTGGAGGCAGCATCAGGGCAGTGAGTGCGGCTTCAGGCTCACCATGGACTCTGGGGCAGCCATGTGGGGCTGCAGGGACGCATGGACATGGGACAGCGAGCCCCAAGGGGCCTCCAGGAGTGCTGCTTCACAGGCGATTCGGAGTGTGAGCTGTGGTCACCTGGCAGGACATGCCAGCGCACAGGCGGCCTTCCTCAGAGGGAAGCTGAACTGAGATTCCCTGGACTTGGAGTTGCTGTGTGGCCCCGAATCTACGGAGCTCCACCACGACATGGAATGGCCTCTGCCCTGTGGGCCGAGGCGCGGCACTGAGGGGCCGGCAGGCCCACGTGACAAGCCAGCACCACACGAGAACTGCTGGTTTCCAGAATCACACGCCAGCCCATCTCCCCTGCCTGGGCTGGCCCAGCTGGCAATGGCGCAGGCCCCGCTCCTGTGGCAGGGAAGGGCGGTGCCCGGCGTCTCAGCACGAAGGTGCTCACGGTTATTTGATCTGTGGTTCCAATGAAAGCAACAGAGGAGCGATGGCGAAGGAATGGGCCCCGCAGGCCTGCGGCATCACGCGAGCCTCTGGGCGTGGGCCAAGGATGGCAGTGGCGCTCTGGCCGCTCCTGACCGGGGACGACTCAGCACTTAGCACACACTGTCAGGACGAGTCTGTAAGGCGTGGAACGTCCAGTGGAGGAGAGGAAGTCACCACTCCGAAAGCCAGAAGCAGACATTCGAAGCGTACTCTTTGCTGCCAACACAGAGCGAACCCTTCAGAAGCCCGGACAGAAGCAGGGCAAGGACCAGGTGCAGCAGCTGCATACCCAGGGAGGAGCCAACATGCTCTAATGCGTGGACACCAAGGGCGAGTGGGTTGGAGCACCGTGCGGACTTGGGCGCTCACCTCTTACGCCAACTTCACATGGCAAATGGGAAGTGACAGGGGCACATGGTCTGGAACACCACAGCTTGGGTGGGTGGCATCATCGCCCCCAGGGCTGAACATGCCCGTGTGTATGGAGTAACCAGCCACAGTGCAGAACAGCTGGAAGGTCAAGGCTACACAAGCGAGGCCCCTACTCAGGTATCATCCCAGGGTCAGAATCAAGCTGAGGTAGAGGAACTGGTTAACACAAGAATGTGGATTACGCTTTGCCTCCTGGAGATCCTGAGTTCTCAAAGTCAAATTTGGGTGGGATAGCCACAATCGTGGGCTGTGGTCTGAGGTCAGATCACCACATGCCCCAAGGGCACAGGGGTGGTGATAAGAGACACTATGTGACAGGAGTTGCCAAGTCGGTGGAGGGTCACACCAGCCAGATGTGGCTTCAGAAGGACAACACAGATAAGAGGTCAGGGACAGACAGACCAGGGAGGGAGGGTTTGGAGCAGAGGGTGGGGGCACAGCTCAAGGAATTACGGGGGACGCCAGGTGACTGCACTTTCTTTACACTGGGCACGGAGGTGTGGGGGAGGAGAGAACTAGGGTCCCATGAAAGGCGTCAACTCTCTCACGTAAGACGATCTCCCAGAGCGAAATGCCCACAGGCCACTTGACCAGTTTGTTCCTCTGCCTCTCAACCTTAATTTTTACAATTTCAGTTTCTCTGAATAGTCTAAACATAACTTTGTAAGCCAATTTTTACATTTTGGTTCTGATAGTCATTCAGACTCATCAAGCAGCACTGCCATTCATTTGAGGTCATCCTAAAGAACGAGGAGTATTTGCTATTCTTAAATTCTCAAAACATAAATACTGTGACGCTGGGCTCTTAGTAAATAAAGTGACTAGCAGATGTAAGCTTTCGTAGTGATTCTCCAGAATGGATTCTCCTATACTCGAAAATGAACCTACCCGGGCTCAAAGGTCTTCTACATGAACTGCATTCACATCACTTTTCTCCAAGATGATGCCTCTGATGCTGGATGAGGTTTGCAGTCTGGTTGAAAGCTTTCCCACACTTGCTGCACTTGTAGGGCTTTTCTCCTGTGTGAATCCTCTGGTGCTGAGTAAGGTGCGTGCTTCGGATAAAGGCTTTCCCACAGATTTTGCATTTGTAAGGTTTTTCTCTGGTGTGAATCCTCTTATGCTGGGTAAGGGCTGAGTGATCACTAAAGGCTTTTTCACATATATTACACGTGTAAGGTTTCTCCCCAGTATGAATTCTCTGATGTTGGGCGAGGGCTGATTGGTCCCTGAAGGCTTTCTCACACAAACCGCATCTGTAAGGTTTCTCTCCAGTGTGGATTTTCCGATGTCGTGCAAAGGATGAATTATCCCTGAAAGCTTTCCCACATTCAACACATTTATACGGTTTCTCTCCGGTATGAATGCGTTGATGTTCAGTAAGGGAAGAGTTCACCCTGAAGGCCTTTCCACATTCATTACATTCAAAGGGCTTCTCTCCGGTGTGAATTCTCTGATGCTGGAGAAAACTTGTGCTTTGATTAAAGGCTTTCCCACATTCGTGACATTTATAGGGTTTCTCGCCACTGTGAATATTCTGGTGTTTGGTAAGATGCGCCCTGCACACAAAAGCTTTTTCACAAATGTTGCATTTGAAAGGCTTTTCTCCAGTATGTATTCTGTGATGGTGGGCAAGGTGTATGTTTCGGATAAAGGCTTTCCCACATAAGTTGCATTCAAAAGGTTTCTCTCCAGTATGAATTTTCTGGTGATAAGTGAGTGAAGAGCTCACTGAGAAGGCCTTGCCACATTCCTTACATTCATAGGGCTTCTCGCCAGTGTGGATTCTTTGGTGATGGATAAGGTGTGTGCTCTGGTGGAAGGCTTTCCCACATTCTCTACATTCATAGCGTTTCTCTTTAATGTGAGTTTTCTGACTTGTGTTTTTTTCAGTGTGGATTTTCTGATGTTTATTAAGAGTTGAACTCTTAGAGAAGACTTTTCCACACTCACTACACTCAAAGGCTTTTTTGATAAGTTGAAATCCCTGACTCTGAACAAGAGATGAGCTCACGGTGCTCCCAGATTCACCACTTTCCTGTTCACTCCCGCCAGATGGGGTGTTCTGGTGAGCAAGAACCACTCGCTGCAAATCCATCTCCTGGTTGCCGCACTGCCATTCCAACAGGCCTGCACATGTCCAGCGACTATCCCCACTGAAGCTTTCCCTTCTTGCCCACTGACCCAAGTCTTCTTCAGGCATCTCGGCCTTGAGAGGAGATTTCTCACTGACAGGCACAGTCAGCCAGTCTGAAAGACATTAAAAATAAAAGTGTCTGTTTTGCCCTAGTAAGACATCTAGAGGAGACAGATGATGAGCCTGGTAATGATGTTAACAAAGAGAGTGCAGTTCTGAAGATTTCAAAGTGAAGACAAGAAAAGAAAGAGAAGAGGGGTGAGCGAGGACTATGGCAGGATAAATCGAACGCTTGGTGTACGAGGCAGGACAGCTCGGAAGAGCGACCTCAGAAGCCACAGGCCTGGGTGAGAATTCTGAGGTCAACACTTACTTCCTCTGCGACTACAGAGAAGTTGCCCAACAATCTAAGCCTCAAAAAGACCTGCTGAGGACCACACAATGCTGGCAAATAAGAAACAAAAATATACCTGTCTATTCTAGTAAGACAGTCTTCAAAACAACCTAGATGTGGCCTTAAATCACTGAAACTAGAGGTCTACACTTGGTAGGAAAAATTACAACTCAAGAGTAGGCACTAAAACCAACATTTTCATATTGTATTGACTTGTTTGAGTATTCATATCAAAAATAAAGAGCTAGGCTGTTGCACAGGCTGCATATCTTACACATAATGTGTAGATATGCAGCCTGTGCAACAGCCTAGCTCTTTATTTTTGATATGAAATATTCATATCTACTAATAAGATAATGACCTCCTGCTGTCTGTAAGTGATGTCTCCAAACCCATATGAATAAGTGATGTTCACAGGAGGAAAATATTCTGTGAGGATGTATAAATGGGAAAGAAAACTAGGAACAGAGCAGCATGTCTGCCAGGATATACCCAGTACGTCAGCAAAGAAAGGCTGCGAATCTGGGGGACAGGCTATGTCGGTATCTAGAAATGGTCTCTGACACAGAGAAACGACCCACAGCTCCATGAATTATCAGACAAAATGATTCCTCTGCCCAAACCAAAATTTCACACTTACTTAACAATCTTCTCACTCGGTTCCATGGGTACCTTGATATTACGAGGGAGCATTCAGGATTGCATGTTAGTTTTCTATACGTATTTGTGACTATATGCCTTCTAACTCAAGTCTGATAAATACATGTTATATTAAGAACTAGATTCATTCTAGATACAGATGAAACAAACATTCCTAGGACATCTGACACCAAGAACACACCATCCTCATTACCTCCCTTTTGCACTCACTCCAGAAAATCTTCTATGAAAAGCTATAACCAAAAGAATGGGATCCTTACTTTAAAAAAAAAAAAAAAAAAAGCCAGGCTTGGAGGCTCAGCCTATAATCCCGTGCTTTGGGAGGCTGAAGTGAGTGGATTCCCTGAGCCCGCGGGTTTGAGACCCGCCTGGGCAACTTGGCATCAACTCATCTCTACAATAAATCAAAAAATTAGCCAGGCGTGGTAGCATGCACCTGTAGCTCCAGCTACTTGGAAGGCTGAGGCGGAAGGATTGCTGGAGCCCAGCAGGTCAAGGCTGTGGTGGCCGGAAGCGGTCACTGCACTCCAGTCTGGGTGATAGAGTGAGACACCAACTCAAAAAAAAAAAGGTAAACAGGTACATTTTAAGGCTAAAATTCAGCTGAATTCAGAAAAACATACCCCTGCTCAAAACAGAGAATGGTCAAACACCAGTATCACCAAACTTCAAAATGTTAAGGATGAACTTTCACTTCTGGCCAAAATAGAGTGGCCTGAGGCAGACCAACATTTCTGCAGAAAACTAGAAAATCTGAATTGAAAAAAGTTATTTGAGCCGGGCTCGGTGGCTCAGCCTGTAATCCTGCGCCTTTGGGAGGCTGAGGTGAGTGGATTGCCTGAGCCCGTGGGTTTGAGACCGGCCTGGGCAACTTGGCGAGACCTCATCTATACAATAAATCAAAATGAGCCAGGCGTGGTAGGGCGTGCCTGTAGTTCCAGCTACCTGGAAGGCTGAGGCAGAAGGATTACCAGAGCCCAGCAGGGCGAGGCTGCGGTGGCCGGGAGCAGTCACTGCACTCTAGTCTGGGCGACAGAGTGAGACTCCAACTCAAAAAAAAAAAAAAAAAAGTTATTTGAAGGCATGAGATGTCACCCAAGGCAGACTCGATAGTCTAATGTTTAGAAGCAAAGGGAAGCCGGGCTCGGTGGCTCAGCCTGTAATCCCGCGCTTTGGGAGGCTGAGGTGAGTGGATTGCCTGAGCCCGCGGGTTCGAGACCCGCCTGGGAAACTTGGTGAGACCTCATCTCTACAATAAATCAAAAAATTAGTCAGGTATGGTAGCGCACGCCTGTAGTTCCAGCTACTTGGAAGGCTGAGGCGGAAGGATCGCCGGAGCCCAGCAGGTCAAGGCTGCAGTGGCCGGGAGCAGTCGCTGTATTCCAGTCTGGGTGACAGAGTGAGACTCCAACTCAAAAAAAAACAAAAACAAAAAAACAATAACAACCAAAAAAAAGAAGCAAAGGGAAATATAGAAAGTGATTCCAGTGCTTAGTGGTTTTTCTCCCCTCAAACAATTTGCTGAATTCTTAAGCTTCTCAGAGCAAAAGACTGTAGTTAAGCAGAAGTCCGGAATCTCTTACAGGCTTTTTTTTTCTTAAGAAAGCAGGATTTCTTGAGAAGACAGAAAAGCTCCCACAGTGGGAGGGAACCTGAGGGTTACCCTCTTACAGGCTCTTGGTACTAGAGAACCAGGACCTTCCAAGGAGGAGGAGGCACAGTGAACACGTGACGCTCTCAGTTGGGACTTCTGCAGGGCCACAACCTAGTAGTAGGGGCAAATGAGGGGGCGTCAAAGTTCTGCAAACACTGTGACTCAAGCTCTAGCTATCACAGTTTCACGGTGAATTAAGATGGTTTGCTCACCCCAACTGCCTACAAGTTAAATCTTTTCTGAAAGAAAATAACACCCAGAGCCTCTGCACACCCCCACACAAAATATCAGGGACTCAATAAAAAAGGAGTGCTAAGAAGTTGAGTGAAGAAAAAAAAAAACAGAAAATAGAAAAAGAACCAGAAAACACAGATACTAGAGTTACCAGATGTAGATTTTATTTTATTTTTTGAGTTGGAGTCTCACTGTCACCCAGACTGGAGTGCAGTGGCCGCTCCTGGCCACCGCAGCCTCGACCTGCTGGGCTCCGGCGATCCTTTCGCCTCAACCTTCCGAGTAGCCGGAATTACAGGCATGCGCTACCACGCCCGGCTGATTTTTTGATTTATTGTAGAGATGAGGTTTCACCAGTTGCCCAGGCGGGTCTTGAACCCACAGCCTCAGGCAATTCACTCACCTCAGCCTCCCAAAGCGCGGGATTACAGGCTAAACCACCAAGCCCGGCCAGATGTAGATTTTATAATACTTGATAAATATAACTGAGAAAACAGGTGAGAATGAGAATTACAACAGAGAATTGGAACAAAATAATCAAACGGAAAATCTAGAGGTGGAAAATATCAGGTTATTGCCTAAGTTCATAGCATTTGTTTCTGGCACGGCAACAGTGGGGTGTTGAGAGTTTACTGTTTGTCATCTGGAATGACAATGTTGTGCTTATGAAGAAAGGGCTACCTGTGGGCTAAAGAAGATGGAGTGTCAAGTTGAAAAAACTGACTCTTTCGACATATTCTTCCATTTCAGTTTCGCAGAGGAGCAGAGGCAGCAGAGGTGGCTCAAAATATTTGGGCTGTGTATGGGAGGAATGCCATCATGGAAAGCACGGCAAGAAAATGGTTTTGTTGTTTCAAAGAGGGCCACTTTGACCTGCGTGATTCTCCCCATTCAGGAAGACCACTGAGCTTTGATGAAGACTGTTTCAAACAGCAAAAAAAAAAAGTTACAAACTTATGTATCAACCCAATACAGTAACTAAAATTATGAACTCAACAGATTTTTAACTGTATACTGAACATAGCAGAAGAGAGAAATAGTGAACTAAAAAATACAGAAGCAGAAAATATCCATGGTAAAACACGAAAAGGCCAAACATATGGGAGAGGGAAAAGAAGGGGGCAAAAAACATTATTGAAAAAGAGAAAAGCTAAAAAATAAACTTTGAGAAGAACTTATAAGCTCCAAGGATAAACACAAAGAAAACTCACCTAAGTGCACCATAGTACATCTACTAAAAACCAAAAATTGTCTTGAAAGTCGGTTGAGAAAAAAGATACATCCCCTTTAAAAGAGTAACAGTAAGACTGAAAATGTCTTTTTGGCCAGGCTTGGTGGCTTAGCCTGTAATCCCAGCACTTTGGGAGGCTGAGGTGAGTAGATTGCCTGAGCCCGCAGGTTCAAGACCAGCCCAGGCAACTCGGCAAGACCTTGTCTCTACCATAAATAAAAAATTAGCTGGGCGTGGTAGTGTGCACCTGTAGTTGCAGCTACTTGGAAGGCTGAGGCAGAAGGATCGCCAGTGCCTAGCAAATCTACGCTGGGGTGGTGGTGAGTGTGCCACTGCACTCCAGCGTGGGCAACAAAGTGAGACTCCAACTCAAAAAAATAGAAAGTGTGTCTTTTTAGTGGAAACAATAGAACCAAGATGACAACAAATAACACCTGAAGTCTTGAAAGAATCTAATTACCAAACTAGAATTCAACAGAGAGAATATACCTCTAAAAAGGAAATATGAGCTGGGCTCGGTGGCTCAGCCTGTAATCTCGCGCCTTTGGGAGGCTGAGGTGAGTGGACTACATGAGCCCGCGGGTTTGAGACCCACCTGTGCAACTTGGTAAGACCTCATCTCTACAATAAATCAAAAACACAGCCGGGCATGGTAGCGCATGCCTGTAATTCCAGCTACTCGGAAGGCTGAGGCAGAAGGATCACTGGAGCCCAGCAGGTAGAGGCTGCAGTGGCCAGGAGCGGCCACTGCACTCTAGTCTGGGCGACAGAGTGAGACTCCAACTCAAAAAAACAAAACAAAACAAAACAAAACACATAAAAAGTAAATATGAAATAGATATTTATATACAAATAAAAAGAGATTGAATCAACAGCAGAACTTTATTAAAAGGAAAACATCAGGCTGGGCTTGGTGGCTCAGACCGTAATTCCAGCACTT